AGCAAAGGGCCCCGGACCCCGTACTCCCGGAGCACCCCCCACAGGGCACTGCGAGGGACACGGTCGAATGCCTTCTCCAGATCCACGCAGCACATGTGGACTGGTTGGGCAAACTCCCATGAACCCTCTGCCACTCTGAAGAGGGTATAGAGCTGGTCCAGTGTTCCACGGCCAGGACGAAAACCGCATTGTTCCTCCTGAATCCGAGGTTCGACTATCGGTCGAATTCTCCTCTCCAGTACCCTGGCATAGACTTTCCCGGGGAGGCTGAGGAGTGTGATCCCCCTATAGTTGGAACACACCCTCCGGTCCCCCTTCTTGAAAAGAGGGACCACCACCCCGGTCTGCCAGCTTTTTAAAATCATTCCTACTGATCAAAATATGAATAATAAGAGAATAGAAAAACAGATGTAAAGTAATGGTGTGGGAATCTCAGGTCTGTGGCAGTGCACTACAGAGACCATTTTACTATGGGCACCCTCCTGTGTGAATATACATGAATTACCCATCTTATTTTCTGTTTTGACAAACGTGTGAAGGCGAGCCAAGTCCCTTGCATGTGCGCAAAGAGAGGACTGACTTTGACACTTAAGCTGCCTTGTTTTCTTTTTGGCATAATGTTACTGTATGATCTGTAGCCTAAATGAAAAATGGCGATTCACATGCACAGCATTGTTTTGGTGATCTTTGCATTAACATGACGTTTCAATGGTGATGAACAATTGAATGCATGCCAGTGTCTTTATTAAAATGAATTGGTGATGAATCACCCTTATGCTTGAATAATACATTAGAAATAATCAGTAATAGCCTAATTTTACACATGATCCATGATGACAAAGGTACAGAAAAACTAATAGTCTATATGGCAGAATAACATATTGTCAATATTTCAGACTAAGACCTCCCCAAAATTTTGCGAATCATGTTTTTCAGATGTAGCTCATTTCTTATTAAGGGGAGCCAAGCTCCCCCTAGCTCCCTAGTAGTTTGCACCATGATCCCAGTAGTGTCCCAGTTGGAGAAAATCACAGCATGATGCTGCTACCACTGTGTTTGACTGAGGGATGGTATTAATGAGGTGATGCTCAATGCCTGGTTTTCTCCACACACAGCTGGGAATTGTGGCCAAATAGTTTTTGTTTCATCAGACAAGATGATTTTGCTTCTCATGGTCTGAGAGTCCTTCAGGTGTCTGTTGGCAAACCCCCAGCAGGCTATCATGTGCCTTTTAGTGTGGAATGGCTTTCGTCTGGCCACTCTACCACAGATCCCTGATTGGTGGGGTGCTGTGCTGATGGTTGTCCTGTAAAGTTCTCCAATCTCCAGTAAGGAACTCTGGATCTCCTTCATAGTGACCCTTGGGTTCTTGGTCACCTGCTGACCATGGCCCTTCGTCCCAGGTTACTCAATTTGGCTGGATGGCCAGATCTGTGAAGACTGGTGGTGGTTCCAAACCGCTTCCATTTGAGAATGATGAAGGCTACTGTGCTTTTGGTCTTGTGTTCAATGCTGCAGAAATTCTCTTGTATCCTTCCCCAGATCTGTGTCTTGACACAATCCTGTCTCGCAGGTCTGTGGACAGTTCTCTTGTCCTCATGGCTTTGTTTTCACTCTGACATACACCATCAACTGTGAGAACTTATATAGACACGTATGTGCCTGTCCTAATTATGTCTAGTGTATTAAATTGTGCACAGGTGGACTCTAATCAAGGTGTAGAAGCATGTCAATGACCATTCATGGGAGTGGGATGCACCAGAGCTCAATTGCAAATGTGGTCCTGAATACTTACCTGTATATAAATGGTCTTTTATTTGTAATACATTTACAAAACACTCCAAAAACAGTTTTAACTTTATCATTGTGGAGTATTAAGATGAGTCTGAAACGCAACAAAATGTGGAAAACTTGAAAGGGTCTGAAAACTTTCCGTACTGTCTGTAACATGTAACCTAATGTGGTGCCTCTCTCTCTCTCATACCAGGACTCTCCACTGAAAGCAGTACAGATGTTATGGGTCAACCTGATCATGGATACCTTTGCTTCACTAGCCCTGGCCACAGAGCCCCCCACAGAAGCCCTGCTGCTAAGGAAGCCATATGGCCGCAACAAGCCTCTCATTTCTCGAACCATGATGAAGAACATCCTGGGTCAGGGAGTGTACCAGCTAACCATCATCTTTACTCTGCTCTTTGCTGGTAAGAAGCTATAACAGATATAGTTCTTCGTATGCTTAAATTACAGCCAGTGGACTCCTGTTTGTGTTTCGTGGGTATTTTGACAAATTCTTTGTTTTTGTAGGGGAGAAAATGTTTGATGTTGACAGCGGCAGAAATGCACCGCTCCATGCCCCACCTTCTGAACACTACACCATTGTCTTCAATACCTTTGTAATGATGCAGCTTTTCAACGAGATCAATGCGCGCAAGATCCATGGTGAAAGGAATGTCTTTGATGGCATCTTCAAAAACCCTATCTTCTGTAGTATTGTTTTTGGTACCTTCATTGTCCAGGTAGAGTAGACTGGAGACTATATAACTTGTTAGGTTTTTTGTGACTCGTACATGAAAAATATATCTCCCTCGCAAAACATCAACCTTTAAATATTTAATCTACAAGTTGGCTTTCTAATTAATTCTGCTTCTCTTCCTGCTTTCTGATCCTCTAGATTGTCATAGTGCAGCTTGGAGGAAAGCCATTCAGCTGTGTTGCTTTGAGCATTGAGCAGTGGCTGTGGTGCACTTTCTTAGGCTTTGGCTCTCTACTATGGGGACAGGTATGATGAGACAATACAGTGAAGCTTCTCGCCCAGTTACAAGAATGTGGGATGACACTGCCCCCCTGTGTTGAACTAGATTAGTGGGTGTGTAATGGTGGCAAGACCACGGATAACAGTATATTCTTCTGCTGCTGTGAATAGATGGGTAAACCTTGAAAATAAAATCATACTGTGTAGCTATAGTACATAGTACAGTGCCACCTGAATGTTAAAGATCTTGTACGGTGATGAAATCTTGGCCTTCTTTTTTGTGAACATAACTAGACACAGGTTCTTCAAGTTCTTTGTCATTGTTATGAAAACAACAAAACAGCATAGCATCTCCAAATCATAAAAAATAATGATTAAATAATAGTAAATGCTAAAATGGTTAATGGTTTTATACTTGTATAACGCTTTTCTGTGCTTTACAGCACACTCAAAGTGCTTTCACAGTACTTGGCCATTCACCCACTCGCACTCACAAACACTCACACGTTCACACACTGGTGTTACCACTGGGAGCAACTGAGGGTTCATTGTCTTGCTCAAGGACATTTCGATATGTTGATTGGACAAGCCGGGAATCGAACCGCTAATCCTCCCGTTAGGAAACGTGTTGCAAGCATATTTTTGAGCTCTTAAAAATTAATCAAAGACAGCTGCATGTGATGCAAAATTTAAATTGTGGCCTTTTTGAATTGCTGATAAGCTATATAATGTCAGACTGCCATATAGATGTGGCAGAATAATGAGACAGGCAGTTTTTTTCTTCTGAGACATGGTTATAGCTTAGTTTACCAACAAGTTTAAGATTCTCTTTTCAGTTAACCACAGTGCATGTTGTCACTGTGCATTTGATGTGTGACAGGTTGCACTGCTGACTATTCCTCTTATTTATAATTCTTCATTGAAATGTTCTCCCTGTGCATTTTTGTTAGCATCTTAGTCGTGTTCTGATGAAAGCATGTCACAGAAAAAGTTGGTAAACGGTTGTGCACTGCACTTTAACTGAGATGAGTAAACAAATGGGACGTGCATAACATTATGCAAAACCATTCACATTGTTGTGACCGTTAGTCTTTTCTTAGAAGCAGGGCTGTTCTCTGAGTGCTGGACTGTTGCTGTCCTATGCTCTCAGCAAGGATGGGCTGAACGTGAAATGTATTCCCCAAAGGTTATCAACAAAGTGAAACTTAACTTCACCCTGTGCAGTAAGCAAGTTGGTAAATAAAGATCACTCATAGTTAACGTGATTTATAGCTCTTTTTGCTAATATTCTCAATTAACATTTGTTTATAGATTAATCTGCCAATCATTTTCTCAATTGATAGAATAATGATTGTCTATTAAATGTCAGAAAGAAATTCTGATTTGCCAGAGGCCCAGGTGGTGACTTCATACAACACAAGTATTAATTTACAATCACCTGTGACACAAAACAACAAATCCTCATATTTGAAAAGATGAAATCAGAAAAATCACTGGGATGATTTAGTCAATTATCAAAATACTTCCTGATTAATTTTCTCTTGACCGGCTAAATGATTAACTGACATGTTTCAGCCCCAGGATTCAGTATTATTATGTTGGAGAACAAAATAGAAGAAGGAGAGAGCTTTTGACAGACAACAGGATTAAAACTGATAAGACCAAGTTGTATAGATGCTTTCCATCACTTTGTCAGCTGGCATGTTGGGAGCAGTTAACATGATGAAATAATTTGTTAGCATTGCTTACAAATTCATCAGTATCAGCTTTTAGTAACTTCCAGAAGTCTGTCACTGTGAGATGTGCTTGGAGTCTCGGAGCAAACTAGATGATGTCAGAAAGCGCCATAATGAAATGTCACTTTACCTAGTCATCGGCCAGTAGTGTTTCTCACGCAGACTGTGACGTCTTCTAGGTAATCTCTTCGATACCCACCAGCCGCTTAAAATTCTTGAAAACAGCGGGCCATGGCACACAGAAGGAGGAGATCCCAGATGAGGAACTGGAGGAGCTGGAAGATATGGATGAGATCGACCATGCTGAGCGGGAGCTTCGTCGCGGCCAGATCCTTTGGTTCCGAGGCCTTAATCGCATCCAGACTCAGGTAACAAACTATGGTCCCTCCTGTGTACCACCGAACACCACACATGACACCAAGGAAATCAAAAGCCATAAACCCTTTAACTCTCTGTTGCTCTTCCAGCTTATAAAATCTATGGTTTGTTCTTTCTCTTGGCATTCTTAAAGAATGACTTGTGCCCTAAAAACAAAAGCCCTTCCTCTAATATTTCTGCTCTGCTTTTGAGCTAAAGCAGCAGATTCCTCTGCCTATTTCTGACTCTGAGTCTAATCTGCTAAGACCCAACTAGTTTGAAGGTACTGATGAGAAGCAAGTGAACTGGATTGGATGGAAAGCGCGATAGAACAGCTGAATGTACAGAGTATCGGCATGGCTATGAGTATGGAAGGAATCTGCAGAGAAAAGAGTGAAAGTGAGGTTAGATTGCCGAGTCACAGCTCCCTCCGATCAGTGCCTTTAAACCCCCCTTTCCCCCCTCTCTCTTTAACTATTATGCCTAAATTTAATTTCCAAGTGAAACTTTCTTTATGGTTATTGGTGCCTTTTCTTTATTTTTTTCTCTCTCCTCTGGCTGTGTTGTTTTATTTCCTCTGGGCTTTCTCCTGTCACGCTTTCTGATTCTTTGCAGATGGATGTAGTGAGTGCGTTCCAGAGTGGAACTTCCTTTCAGGGGGCTCTAAGGCGGCAGGCCTCCAACTCCAGCCAACAACAGCACGATGTAACCAATGTTTCTAGCCCTACACATGTAGCCTTTTCTACTACTACCACTACTGCCACTGCCGCCAACACCGCTTCTGCCACTGTGGGGTGTGAGTGCGTGTTCTCCTCTAGTGCATGAGACTTTTATTTCTTCTGTTCTTCTAACATCTTCCTCTTCTACTCTTCTTCTCACCTAACGTTGACACTTTTACTCTCTCATGCGTCACTTGATGTACCCCCCACCCCCGTTTTCTTCAATATGACACCAAAAGTACCACATCTTCCATACTGCTTCAATAACACTGCTGTGTGTATATATATATTTATATATATGTGTACCCTGTAACCAGGTGGCTTCTAGCGTCAAGGTGTTTCCTCTGTGTCATGTTTTCTGTTCTGCTTCTGCTTTGGTCTCAGAAATGAAAAGGTGTTACTGTTATCTCGGGTTTGGTGGTGATATGTATTTAATATTTGACAAATTCTGTTCTGGATTGACAGTCACATTGTTCGTCTGCAGCTGCCTCAGTCTGCTCTGTGCCCCTGTAGCACCCATGGGTCTGTGTCGCAGCTCTCTAGTCCCTAGACGGGTAAATATTTTGAGTATATGCCCATGATCACGGTCTAAAATTCAGACAAACCATGACCTGGCTTCATTTGTGAGAAAATGTCTCTGTCAGTGGATGCCCTGTCAGTCAGTTGTGAAATAATGACATATTCTTCTCCAGCTATGGTTTTTTCTGGGACAGTGTTCCCTGGGAACATGCTCCAGAAACACCCAGTAATAAACTATCTGCTTGCATTTGATATGACACAGTTCTTTTTTTTTTCTTTTGGTGTGTTTGAATGTAGGGTCGTGCACAGGGCTGGAAGGTCTGGCATTCATTCAGCATAGGAGATCAGTGTTTCAAGAGCAGATACGAATCATTTCTTCCCTTTACAAGGGCTGTGTGTGTGTTGACAATAGCTGTTTTTTTCTTTCCTCTTTCAGGTCTTGTAAAGCATTTTAAATGTCTGACAGATGTCATAAATAAATGCAATAAATGACTGTGCTCTTGAATATAAACACATTAACGTTATTGGAAAAACTTCCCTATTCCCCATGCTTCCCTATTAAACTAACATTTTCCTTTCAGGTGCTCCTGACACGTGATGGACCAGTGTTTTTGACGTCTTTCTCTGTGTGAATGTTTGCTTGTTGGCAGAATGTGTCCACCTGGCAAGATGTTGCCAAAAGCACAATCAATGGAAACCACTGACTCCCCACATATTCTTCTTTAGATTCTGTGAAATGTGTCATGGGCTATACTCAAAGGTTTACTACCATTGAGCACAAGGTAGTGCCACGCTCTGCATGGGTTCAAAGTCTCTGGCTTTGTTTGAGTTCTTTTTCCTCTCTGTGCTGTTTTTGATGTGCATACCAGCTTGTAGACATGCTTGGCTGCTGCAACTTTGTTTTTTAATCCACAAACATAAGCTATAACTAACTACCCCTTTCTTTGTGTCTGTCTCTATTCGTCTGCCTCTTTCTTTCTTCACCTCTTCCTCTCTCTCTCTCTGTCTCTTCACATTTTCTTTAGCATGTCCAACTGCAGTAAATTCTTGTGTCCAGCCTATTTTTTGTTTTTTTTTTTGTTTTTGTCTAAAGAACAGCATTCCTTTTGTCTCTTGGTTCCCTTTTGCTTTTTAATTAATCAGACACGGGCCTCTACCAAGTGTTTTGTGAAATACTACTACTGTACTTACAACATAAACATACATTGCATTGGGTTTGGCACTTGTTTGTACCCTCCCTAAGGGCTTTACTACATGACTTTGAAGACTAGTTTTTCTACAAGCACAGAGTCAAGGGTCAGCTTTGTCTTTACTAAATACAGCTCAAGTTTTGTATCTCTCAGAAACCCTTATCAACCCACACTAAAGTGTGACCTGGTTCTGAACAGTCCTGTCTTTCAAACACTACTGAAAGCTGGTGTTAAGTCTATCTCATGCCTTTAGTTGTGTTCGTTAGCCTGAGATTTTTCATTCTGTACTTTATACTGAATTATATGACAGGACAGAGGGGGGAATGGAGAATTTAACCAGAAAACAATGGTTGCCCCAGTTTACACTTAGGTTAAACTAATGAGATCTTCACAGGGGTGTTGAACAAATTCTAGAAAATGGGTAAGGACATTTAACTGGTTTTACAAGTTGTAATGTTACTGCTACAAATAACTGCATGTGAATTTAAAACTTTCACCGTCACTTGAGTATTTTTTGCGCTTACAACTCACCTGTTATTGACCCAGTGGAAATGTGTGCCCTTGGTTTTTATCTCTCACGTCATGTGCAGGTGATAAAATGAAACGCATGTATCATTACTGACGGTGACTAAATATGCACCTTTCCCGCTCCCTGTCCCCTCTCCCTCCTTCCAGATCCGGGTGGTGAATGCATTCCGCAGCTCCATCTCCCTCTATGAGGGGCTGGAGAAGCCCGAGTCGCGATCATCTATCCACAACTTCATGACCCACCCCGAATTTCGGATAGAGGACTCTGAGCCCCATATTCCCCTCATAGATGACACCGACGCAGAGGACGATGCTCCCACCAAGCGCAACTCCACTAGCCCCCGCAACACCACACCCACACCACCCTCTCCCTCGCCCACCACCACTGCTGCCCCGACCACACCCGTCTCCCCCTCCCCAAATCAGAACAATAACGCTGTAGAGAGCAGTAACCACCTCCTCCCAGAGGGCCCAAAATCAGGAATCTCCTCGGCCCCAGCGAGCCCCCTACACAGCCTGGAGACCTCCCTTTGATTTGACCCTGCTCCACAAGTCCCCACCACTTTTCTACCCGCCGCTGAGGAGCTCAGTTCAGATGATGTGAACAAACTCTTGGAGAGAAGAGATGAACAGCTAGGAGGAGAGCGGAGTCTTGTGTGAGCTTGGCTTGGGCTGGACTGAAGGACAGCAGACATTCAGAGGAATGTATGGCTTGGTGTGGATATTTTGGTCTTCTTTTAGTTTTGGTTGTTACTAATACCCCGCTGCGACACAAGGACTCTGTTTCCACCCCTCCCTTCTTGGTAAGTTTTGTTTTTCTCAGTAAACAAGGGGTGATTATAAAGTGAGATCGAAAGTGACCTATTATTATTATTATTTGAATTGAGAAGGGGGGGTCGTCCTCCTGGCTTGAAGATCATCTGTAAGAATTATGATAGAACCTTTAGCTTCTCTTTTATCTGAATGGTGTTGTATATTTATCTCTTTGGCCCTTGCTCATTCAAAACTTATTTTTGCTCCATTGGCTGTTAATATTTTGAGTTATTTATGTTTTTGGAAAAAGCAGGTCTGTTTACAAAGTTTGTAGATACTTTTTTTTCTGTTTGTAGGCAAAAGAGCTTCCTGATATATGATGCAGAAAAGTGGGACAGAGTTAAAAATGGATGAGGACTATTTCAGATACTGCTGTATTTTCAGGAAAAAAGGGTGTTTCTATTGAAACTTAACTATTTTTGCCTGCAAGTTTTATTTGTTATATATTTGTAGATAATTATAGAGCCTTCTAGCCAAATGGTTAAACACTAAGGCTTGTATAGAAAAAGAGGTCCATGGGGTGAAGTGTTTTTCACAGGAGACTGGGTGGGAAAACACAATTTAGGGCCTCTGTCCACTAACATAGTTATAAATATTTACTTCTTCCATTTCTTCAATAGTTTTCATGTGCACAAAACCTTCTGGAGTTTCTGGAATCTTTTATCATCCATTTTGTTATGTTCAAGGATTTCCCCTTGTAGAAAGGTTCACTCATTAAAAGGGATTTTTGAAAATATCTGGGCCTGTATTTAGCAAGCATCTCAGAATGACACCTAGGGATGATGCTGAAAGTCAGACTAGGAAACAAAGTCTTACCTCAGAGTTGGTCATAAGCACCTCATGAAGCCTCCTACAGTCACTTTTCTTTTACATCTTTGTGGTTGCAAAATACTTGGAACTGTTAAATTAAAGTATCTTTTTCTAGTGGTTGTTAGTTACATTCAGAAGAGGCTGGATTAGATTTAATGCAGGAAAACAGCAGCAGCTTCACTTATGGGTGCATGATAATCTAATTTATGCATGTTAAGGCTCAATTTTTTTTTTGCCAAAACTAATAAAAAGCACTAAAATGACTGTTTATCCGCTTTTTTTTTTTTCCCCACAACTATGGTTCAAGCTAGCGCTGTATCATGAACTGATCCGTCAGTGCGCCTGTTTATTTCTCTATAATTACTTCATATAGACTAAATGTGAATGTGCCTTGACTACAGTAATCATTTAGACAGTACATTTGCCACGTTCAGGAAACTCCTTACAGATAAAACACTGTTACTCCTACAGCTAAACGTAGAACCAAATAATCCTCATTAAAATTGTAGGCTGCGTAGGTTAGGACTGGGTTCCTCCCTCTGGATGCTTGATAAATATGGACCCTGGTCATCTTGTCTTTACTTTTATTTATTTTTTTATTTTTTTTGTGCAAACTGTTAGCCCCCTGCCAATGTACAATATTGACATTTGTTTACTCAGGCTTAGAAAAAGTGTTTAATTTAAAACAAATCTATAAAGAGAGAGACTTTGTGTAGATAGTAAAACATTGTCTGGGTTAAAAAACAAGTGAATTATTTTCATATATCATTTAATCTTTAAGATAATGATTTAGGACTAAGTTATTCCTCCAAGTTGACATTTTAAAATTCAAGGACTGAGCATAAAAAAAACAACTTTTCTTCAACCTTGTCCATAAGACTCCTTTCGCTATGGATAAATGTTGCTGCATTTAATTTGTTTGTAAAATATTTTTGACACCTGATGTACTGGAAACGCTAAAGAATTGGACCTGCATTTTTCAGTAAATAAGATGAGGCATACACTGGTATATCTGTCCGCACAGGGTACTTTATTTCATAGGGTTCCTTGGGGGAAGAATTTTGATACAAACCATAGTACAAAATATGTACCTTTGTATTTTTATGACAATACTGATGATATCTTTCATCATACAAAACCAATTTTGGATGATCTGACACCAACCATGTTCTAAGATGGGGGGGTTTGGCCACTAAAATGTGTGTTGTTCTGGAATACTCATCTCAGGGTGCAAGTGGTGTGAAAGAGAACAGGCCTATTTTAGTTTGTATATTACCACACTTAATTCAATGTTTGGAACGGTGCTTGTCGGCCACACGGGATGACTCGAGCAACCGGCTGCAGATTCTTCCTGCAGCCTTCTGTCCACCTTCGCCTGAGGGGCCACGGACAGGGGAAGGAGGTGGAAATGTTAACTCACAATGTTCTCTGAGGAACGAGTTGGTTTTCCTTGTTTTACAGATGACAAAATAGCAGCTAGGATTGCATACAAAGTGAGAAATTGACAAGAAGTGGAATCATCTGAGGGATTTGTTCTGTAGCTTCTTCCTGTAATGGGAATGAATGTTTTTTCCATCTGTTTTATGGATTATTATTTTTTTATCTTTAACATTTGGAAATAAAAGTACTTCATGTCTGTTTATCTTGCGCATTTTAAATGGATATTGTGATTGGATTTACATTTGAAACTTGTCGAGTAATGTGTATGGTTTTTAAAAATAAAAAATGTATTTAGCCAAACTGCAGGGCCATGCTTTTTATTTGTCATGCATTACTTGTGGAGTGGAGCTGTGGAAATCCCACATTTCTACAGTGAGGTAAAGCAGACATCTTTCAGGCAGTCCTACTCTTGAGTGAGGGTGATCTTTCTCATTTGAAATGTGCTTTTTTTGCACAGTCTCCAGATTATTGTAGCTAATGAACAGAGCAGGTTCTTGGTGTGAAATACTGTATATTCACATGTGGATAGGCCCTGGCAGTCAGTAGTGTATGTGCAAGTGTAATAAAAACAACAGGCACAATATAAATGAAAGTACAAATTTAAAAATAACTAATTGATTGTATGTTTTTATAAAAAAACAGCATAAAAAAGACAATATTGTAGCTTTACTGAATAAATGACTGCTTATTTTCTAGAAGGTAATAAGCCAGTGCACATCCGGACCAGTAGAGGGTAGTAGACTTCTTTCGGAATCTCCTCTTCTGCTATTTTAAACCTGTCAGTTCCTCAAAGATTGTATATTGATATGTTGAAGCACTCGTCTTTGATCACGACCAGCCAGTTTGCTAAAGATTTCTCACCGTGGGTCTTGTATCGATCATAGACTTTGACAAACGTTCCCCGAAGCAGGAGCAGAGAGACTCGTCTGCCTCCTCCCTCCCTCCGCAGGAACTTGGTCTCCAGTAATGGATCCTAAACCCGGGACAAAGGTTTGCTAATGACAGGTCGCAACATTTCTGTAAGTACCTTGACGTTTATCTGCTGCACCGTGAGCCTAATAAAGTGGTTTTCCAGAATCCCAGTAGTGGAGGATCTGAGCCGTGTTTGACGCTAATTTAATGTAACGCTTTAGCTTCTTTGAGTGACAGTGATCTCAGTCTCTATTGTGGCCTGTTTGAATTGCTTCGTGTCACATAATCCTACACAGATGCGCATGAGATTATATTATTTAGCAACGTATTGTCCTCCCGGGCAGTGAATTTCTGGTCACGACTTCAAAGGTACTCTGTCTTTGGAGGGTGTTAAATTCACCTTGTTACTTATCTTTTGACCTCTCCACCTCTTAGCGGCATGAAAGCGACTCCCCCGCCTCTGAGCTCAAGATGAGGGAGTGGTGGATTCATGTGGGGTTGATCTGCATCCCGCTGGTAGCCGTCTACCTGCACGTCCCGCCCCCGCAGCTCTCACCTGCCCTGCACAAGTGGCACAGTGGCGGGGAGGTGTTCCACTTCAGAGGCAGGAGGATCTTCTACAGAGGCAGGGGTGCACTTTTAGGTTGTCTCCTAGTAGCTTTACAGTCAGGGAAACGGTTTGGCTCATTTGATCTGTTTGGGCCTTGAAATCACTTCTTGGTAAAAATGCTAAAACTCATAGCCATCACATAATTCCACTAGTTTAATCTTTAACATTGCATAATATTTCTTAAGATTATTATATGTGAAGTTTTAATCCTTAACCTCTGAAATGTAGTGAAGTAAATATGCAAAGTTTCAAAATAAAAATACCCAAATAAAGTAGAAGTACCTCAAAA